TAATTAAGGAACCATGAAGATGTGGACAATCATAGGAGGTGGAGGAGAAAGGGGTGCCAGTGGTAACTTCAGCACGGGAACTCTCTTAAATTCTAAATAAGGAATAATTTTATTGAAATTGCCAGTATTTCCCCAGTAGAAACTCCTTTGAATAGAGTCTCTAAAGAAGTAGGTTTCACATTTCAGTGAAGCAGGTATGTTTTAAAAACTGCAAAGGTTGGCCATGCAAAATGTTTTCAACAATGTGCTAAGCAAAGAAGAAAAATGTTTTGAACATATTTTATATCTTAATTAACTCTCACCATATATGCCAATATAAGAAATTCTGTTTCTCTAATTCTCTTTAAGGAGACGGTAGGCAATACAGAAAAGAACGTGGGCTTTGGGTCTGCCTCTGAATTATATTTCCGTAGATTCAACCAGCAAAGTCTGTGTGGCCTTAAAAAAGGCAGTCTCTCTTGAATTTTAATTTATTCGATTATAAAAAGAGAGTAATGACCCCTGCTTTCTAAAAATGTTTTAAATATAAGGTAGAGTGATATAAAGAACCTATTGTATAGAGAACATTTAATACTCAGTAGCTGCTATTACTAGCAATTTCTTCCTTTTTTAAAATTTTTCTTGAAATCATTAGAATTAGGGTATTTAACATCAATTCTCCACATATAAATTACTCATTAATTTATAGGAAAATTTCCACAGTATACACTTTTGTTTTTTTTTGCAGTTTTCTCCCTGGATTTCCAGTACTTTAGTAGAGACATCAAATATATCACATGAAGTACACAGATCTGTCTTTCAAAATATATCAGAATTCATCCTACACTCAGGTTTTAATTTTTTAAAATGCAATGTAAAGCAGAAGAAAGGTAAAAACATGTCCATAACACTATTTCTATCATTGATTTTTTCTATTCATGTTCAGTCTTTTTTCATCTTGGAAAAATGAAATATTGTTATGGGTGATATAATATGGGTGAAGTTCTTAAGCACAAATAGATCTTCAGAATTATGCAAATTTGATTGCTTAAATTTGTTAGTAGCTAGATGTTACGGACTATATATTTGTGTCCCCACTAAATTCATATGTTGAAATGTTAAGCCCCAGTGTGATGGGATTTGGAAGTGAGGTGTTTGAGAGCGAACCTTTGGGAGTGGTAGATGAGGTCATGAAAGTGAAATCTTCATGATGGTATTAGTGTCTTTGTAAGAAGAGAATGGGACTAGCGCTCACACTTTCTCCCTGCTATGTGAAGTCACCTCATAAAGACAGCCTTCTGTAAAATGGGAAACGGGTCCTTACCAGAACCCAGTGACACTGGCACCCTGATCTGGGACTTCAGAAGAATGAGAAATAAATTTCTGTTGTTCAAGCCACTCGGTCTGTGGTATTCTGTTAAAGCAGCTTGAATTGGCTAAGATACTAGACAATTTCCATACAGGAAGGAGTTCATTTTTAAGCATAGCAATTGAAAATAGATCACACAGAGGTGGTGAAAAGAGCGGTCAGGCACGATGGTTCACGCCTGTAATCCCAGCATTTTGGGAGGCTGAGGTGGGTGGATCACTTGAGGTCAGGAGTCCGAGACCAGCCTGGCTGACATGGTGAAACCACGCCTCTACTAAAAATACAAAAATTAGCCAAGTGTGGTGGCGTGCACCTGTAATCCCAGCTACTCGGGAGGCTGAGGCAGGGCAGTCGCTTGAACCTGGAAGGCAGAGGTTTCAGTGAGCTGAGATCAAGCCACTGGACTCCAGCCTGGGTGACAGAGTGAGACTCCGTCTGAAAAAAAAAAAAAGAGAGAGAGAACTGGCAAAAAGAGAGGGCTGCTAATGAATACAGAACACTTAGAGGATAGAGAACTGGAAGCATAGCTAGTCATCATGGAAAACAAACAAGATGGTGGTTCAAGAAAACATACAGCAATGCACAACAGTATTTTCGAAACAACACGGAGATCTATTGATATGTTCACTTACTCTCTCAGGACAAGATGGTTGGCCAAGTATGGTTAATTAACAGTGAAACGTAGTTAAAAATAAACACACCTGAAAAACTGTCATCACAACAGAAAACTACAAAGCAAATCCAGAAAACAAAAGAAATTGACCTTTGCTTGATAGGCAGAAGCAAAAATTATTTCAAACAGTGATAAGTATTAATAGATAATCCAAGACTGTGGAGTTGAGTTAGGTTAAGGATTAATGGGCATAAGACAATCTGATGGTGATTTGTATGTATCATTTAGGAAGAAAAAGCATTTGTCTGTGTTATGCTATTATCAGGGCTGAATGCAGCTTAGCAAATTTAATTGCTAAACTTAAATCATGCCTTATGATGGTGCTGACAGAAAGAAAAGCCTGAGGGAGGGTGGAGAGGGGGTTGACATGAGCTCTCATTTCTCTCTTGGGTTCTTGGTGGTATTGTGGTTCTTCATGGAAATGGAAGTACAAACTACTGAATAATCGATGTATTTTGCTCTGTAGTTCTAAATTAGAGTGAAAATGTTATTAATCTGTTATATCTCTATTACCATTATCTGAATTTTGTAGCCAAGTTAATCATTGCAGCAGGACAGAAAACTAGATAAACAGTTGCCTTTCATCTTTGAATTTAGGCCCCTTCTGTCTTTAGCAAACTCAATATTACCATTTTTTTCTGTCTTTTTATTCCAGTGTCTTTTAGGACATGGTTATGTATAAATATTATGGAGTTAACTGTATCATTGTCTGATAAGGAACCTATTTGGATGCCCTGGGCCACTTCCTAGTAGGGAATTACCTCTACAATAATTCTAATGTGAACCTAGTGTTAATTTCCCACTCAGATCCTCATCTTTTGGCTAGAAAAATTTCAATAGTAAAGTATCTAATATTTTCAAAATAAGGAAAATATTTTTATGTAAAACAAGTTCCTGGTAAAGTTCAAGCCTTAAGGGAAGAGAGGTTTGGTAATACACAAAGCCAAGAAATATGAATGCGTACCTGGGACGCAGCTCTCACAACGGCTGAGGCCCTCAGAGGCAGAGCTTTCTGCTTCCGTCTCATGCGTTCCTGTGTTGATGTGGATAGTCAGCAATATTTAAACAGAGCTCCTAAGAAACACGCCACACAGAAATTCAAAAAGAAATTTCAATGAATCAATATATGCCTTGACATCCCTTAAAATGTGGCTTCATTTAGTCATTATCTCAACCAGTTGTATTATTTCTTTTTCATTTTTCAGTTCTGTCAATGACTCCTTTTTCCCAGTCTGACAATTAAAGATTAAAAATATCTTCTGTTTAGATGTCATTTTTCCTTTTGTGGATTGCACAAAAGGAAAAATCTTCAAGCTTTACTTCATTTTCTTTTCTTCTTCACATCATAAAAATGATCTTTTCTTTGAAGTTTTACTTTCTCTCTGCTTCATCGGACTACCTTAAATCCAAATATGGGAGAAAATGTTTTCTGCTCACTTCTTAAATCTTATTTTCCCAAGATTAATCTAAGTCCCCCTCCACCACAAATCTGTAATGGATAAAAACTTGATGAAGAAAATGCCGCATATGTTCTACGTCAGCCTAAGGGACACCCTGAAATTTAGCACCTAGCAGGTCAAGAAGTGAGAAAATTTCTGTAAATATTAAGTTTTAACTTTTTATTACATTTATTATGTCTGTTTAACAAAATTATAACAACTCAGACTACTATGCATCCTACTTCTTTTTTAGAAGACGGTCTACTTTATCCTCCTTTTGCCCTTTCTACCATATAGTTTTTGTTTTAATAATATCCATAAATGACTCAGATTTTTTGAACCATGAAACTCACAAAGTTTAATTAGTGAGCAGAAAAGATTTTCTCCCATATTTGGATTTAAGGTAGTCCGATGAAGCAGAGAGAAAGTAAAACTGTAAAGAAAAGATCATTTTTTATGATGTTAAGAAGAAAAGAAAATAAAGTGCAGCTTAAAGTTAGGAAAGATCAGACAGAGAGCTCAAGGTGATCTCCAGAAGAAAATTGCTGGTGGAATTTTCTCAGATAAACATTTATGCTTAGTATAGCACCACTGTTAGATCATCATTATTTTGAGAAGAAAGTTCACATTGTCTTGCATTTAGGGATTTCTATGTCCTACTGCAGACATAATATTAAAAGGTTGGAAAACATATTTGGTTAATACCTAATATAATACAGTTTAGTAAATATAGTTCCCTTGTCCTGTAAATATTTTATTTTGAAATATTGTCCATTTGCATAGACCCAAGGGTCTTGAGACATCTTCAGAATTCTCGTTCCTTCAGCCCAGGAAGACAAAGCAGCAAGAATAGCACCACAAAATAAGCTCATAAGCTTGCTTAAATGCTATAGTCCTGGCTACATAAGATAATTATCTGGTGACTTTTATTTTGGCAATTTTTTTTTTAATAAATGAAGATTATCAGAAAAGTGCCAATGAGTAATTTTTCTGCCTTAAAGAACCCCGATATGTTTTAAGTGCCAAGGAGAAGGACAGCCTTGTGTATTTAATTACTTTAGTTTGTTTTGTCCTCTGGCATGATCTGTTCCCTGATTTCACCAAAGTAGAGCTTGCTTTGAAGTTGTAGAAAAATTAAATCAATCACTTGGATCACATGTGTCCCAAAGAATGTGGTTTCTCAGGTAAAAGCAATCTTTCAATCCCCTGCTCTCGTTTCACTTTGGCATTTCAACAGCATTGCAAAATTCTTCGGCAGATATTTTATTTTATCCCTTGGTCCCAGCAGCTTTTACTAAGAGTTTCAGAATTGCCTGTACAAGGTGCACCTTTCACATTACAAGGGATTGGCTCATTTCTTGATGCTTATGCAACCATTTATAACTATGCCTACAGGTTAACATACTGCTGTCTTCTCGGAAGACCGAGAAGTATAAAGAATGTTTATGTGCAGGTCTAGCCGTTACAAGTACCCAAGTGTTGGTTTAGACACACCTGGGTTACCATCCACCTTTTATTGGCTGAGAAAGTTGCCACACCTGATTTGTAAGTTTACCTGTTGCAGCCAATAACAGGGCCATCTCAGCCAGCCAGCACTGGATACTATCTGGCCAGAAGTAGCAAAGCAGCTCTTATTTGAAAAGCCACTGGGTTCTGAGTTCATTACTACAGCAAAAACTGTTCTCTTCTGTGGCACAGAGAACCTTGCTTCAAAGCAGAACTAGCAGCTCGGGAGTCCAGCTGACTAAAACCCATCCCAGGGGATAATGGCAACCCATGCCTTAGAAATTGCTGGGCTGTTTCTTGGTGGTGTTGGAATGGTGGGCACAGTGGCTGTCACCGTCATGCCTCAGTGGAGAGTGTCGGCCTTCATTGAAAACAACATCGTGGTGTTTGAAAACTTCTGGGAAGGACTGTGGATGAATTGCGTGAGGCAGGCTAACATCAGGATGCAGTGCAAAATCTATGATTCCCTGTTGGCTCTTTCTCCGGACCTACAGGCAGCCAGAGGACTGATGTGTGCTGCTTCCGTAATGTCCTTCTTGGCTTTCATGATGGCCATCCTTGGCATGAAATGCACCAGGTGCACGGGGGACAATGAGAAGGTGAAGGCTCACATTCTGCTGACAGCTGGAATCATCTTCATCATCACGGGCATGGTGGTGCTCATCCCTGTGAGCTGGGTTGCCAATGCCATCATCAGAGATTTCTATAACCCGATAGTGAATGTTGCCCAAAAACGTGAGCTTGGAGAAGCCCTCTACTTAGGATGGACCACTGCACTCGTGCTCATTGTTGGAGGAGCCCTGTTCTGTTGTATTTTTTGTTGCAACGAAAAGAGCAGTAGCTACAGATACTCGATACCCTCCCATCGCACAACCCAAAGAAGTTATCACATGGAAAAGAAGTCACCGAGCGTCTACTCCAGATCTCAGTATGTGTAGTTGTGTATGTTTTTATAACTTTACTATAAAGCCATGCAAATGATTAAAATCTCTATTATTTTCTCAAAATGGACCCCAAAGAAACTTTGATTTACTGTTCTTAACTGCTTAATCTTAATTACAGGAACTGTGCATCAGCTATTTATGATTCTATAAGCTATTTCAGCAGAATGAGATATTAAACCCAATGCTTTTATTGTTCTAAAGTACAGTAATTTGTTTTCTAAGATGATTCAAGCGCCCACTATTTTTATCATTTACTTCAAAATGACATTGCTAAAGACTGCATTATTTTACCACTGTAATTTCTCCATGACATAGCATTATGTACATAGATGAGTGTAACATTTATATCTTACATAGAGACATGCTTATATGGTTTTATTTGAAATGAAATGCCGATCCATTACACTGAATAAATAGAACTCAACTATTGCTTTTCAGGGAAATCATGGATAGGATTGAAGAAGGTTTCTATTAATTGTTTAAAAACAGCTTAGGGATTAATGTCCTCCGTTTATAATGAAGGTTAAAATGAAGGCTTTAATCAGCATTGTAAAGGAAATTGAATGGCTTTCTGATATGCTGTTTTTTAGCCTAGGAGTTGGAAATCCTAACTTCTTTATCCTCTTCTCCCAGAGGCTTTTTTTTTCTTGTATATTAAATTAACATTTTTAAAAAGCAGATATTTTGTCAAGAGGCTTTGCATTCAAACTGCTTTTCCAGGGCTACACTCAGAGGAAAGATAAAAGTGTGATCTAAGAAAAAGTGATGGTTTTAGAAAAGTGAAAATATTTTTTCTTATTATGTTTTTATATTTGAAGAAGAATGATGCATTTTGACAAGAAATCATTTATGTATGGGTGTATTTTAATAAGTATTTGAGTACAGACTTTGAGGTTTCATCAATATAAATAAAAGAGCAGAAAAATATGTCTTGGTTTTCATTTACTTACCAAAAAAACAACAACAACAAAAAATAAAGTTGTCCTTTGAGAACTTCACCTGCTCCTATGCGGGTACCTAAGTCAAAATTGACATTTTTGTTCTGTGAAAAATAAATTTCCTTCTTGTACCATTTCTGTTTAGTTTTACTAAAGTCTGTAAATACTGTATTTTTCTGTTTATTCCAAATTTGATGAAACTGACAATCCAGTTTGAAAGTTTGTGTCAATGTCTGTCTAGCTTAAATGAATGTGTTCTATTTGCTTTATACTTTTATATTAATAAATTGTACTTTTTTCTAATTATTTGACATTCTTTCACTAGTCTCCTTTTATTTCTGTTTTATTAACTTGTAGAAGAGTTTTGAAAAACCTGATATTTTTTATTCTCCAAATTGAGAAAGAATGTCAAGGTTGCCTTGTAAAGATTAAACAGAGCACTAATTTTTGAAAATATAAATTACTCTATGTTATTTAACAACAATATACCTTATAATCATTGGATTCCTATACCAATATTCAATGCAGATAACATATTTATAATTTAAGATAGTACTATAAATTCAAACAAATCTATATGTTATAAATATTATGTATATAACAGCCACATTTGAAAAATTTACTGTAGCTAAATATATATTTCTACTTCTGAGAAATAATAAATAACAGTTGCTAATGTTCTGGGGGCATGTATTACATGCTAGGACCTCTACTGCTTATATGAATTATATTATTAAATCTTTTATGAGACTGATAATATTATTAGTTCAATTCAAAGATGAGGCTATCTCGGAACAATTCATTGATTACCCAGTAGAATCAGGAGATTTAAAAAAAGAGCTGCCTGACCTCATAGCTCAATACTGTTTCTCTGAAGGAAACTGAAATTTTTTTCAGCAATGTCTAGTTTAGAAACTAATTTTTATATGTTAAAATGACACGCTTAACTACTATGAGTTGGGAAAACTTATAGTTGTCTTTTAAAAATTTTTTTTAAATTGAAACAGAGTCTCAGTCACCCAGGCTAGAGTGCAGTGGTGTGATCTCAGCTCACTGCAACCTCCACCTCCCGGATTCAAACGATTCTCCTCCCTCAGCCTCCTGTGTAGCTGGGATTACAGGCATGTGCCACCACACCCAGTCATTTTCTTTTTTTCCATATTGGTGATTCTCTTATACCCAAGAGCTCATTCATCCTAGGCAATTTTGCTTTTTCAGGTCAAAACATTCATAAAAGGAAAAATACAGCAAAAATAACTGAGCACCTTGGAGAAGAAATCCATAGGCCCCATCTTCTAAATACCAGTCTCTAATCAACTATTTTTTCTTTTACCTAGAAAGCCCTTTAAATGTCCCAAACTCAATTTATTATTTCTCTGCTCTTTTCTCTGAAAGAGAGTAACACTTCTAGTTTTTATTATGGCATCACTTTGAGTATCTCTGAAATCTTTCCACAACTTTCCACCTTTACTATCAGTTCATCTCTTATCTACATAATTGGAAAAGACTTCTAGACTTGTGTCATTGTCTGCAGAGTCTTTTCCCAACAGCCGTCGTCCATACTTTTATCTTAGTTGTTTCTAAAGTGCAAGACAAGTCCCATCGTGGCCTTCCCATAAGCTCTGTAAGGACATCCCATTGCCTTTAAGAAAAGCCCAGAGGCCTTTGCATATGCTAACTGACGGGAAGGAAAAATTATCTTAAAATTTTCAAGGCAAATTTTATCAGATAGTTTAACATCAGTGTATAACCAGTATAATAACAATTATAAAGTTAATGTCCCCAACTCAGAGTAATTAACATGCCACAGGCCTCTTTAATATTCTGAAAGACATATACTGACAACTACGAAATGATTCAATTGGTGGTAAATTACATGCAATAGAAAGTTTTGTAATGTATTTGTTATGGAAAAAAAACACGATGGAAAGGACAGGGAGGCAGAGGAGGTGATGTTAAGTATTTACATTGTAGCTAGCTGGTTTTGTGACTTGAGGCAAATTTTAGAATCCAATGTATCCCAATGTAATTATTATTTTCCAATTGTCGGATAGAATATTAGGCCATAAGGTCCAATAGAATTATAATAGGGTGCAATATTCATTGTGTTAGTGAATTTGGAACATTAAATGTGTTGCACCAATGAAAGGCAATATATATAGTAAAAAGAGGACCAAATTTTGAAAGAGTCAAATGAGAGAACCATCCCATACACACCCCCAAGCAGTGAATTTAGAAAAGTTCATTAGCCCCTCAGCCTCAATCTCTTCTCATTCATATAATGAAGGTAAGATTATTGTAGGAAAGAAGTATATAGAGTAACTAGCCCAATGCTAGAATGAAGAAATAGTGGATCACTTCTCTTTGTATAATATTCCTCCTTAAAAATTCCTTGGAGTTGTATATAAAATATGCACATCAATAAAATAAGCAAAAATAGAGAATAAAATATTAAAATAATAATTTTCCACATCAGATATTCATTGCGATTGCGAATCTTACCAACAGGTTATTTTATGATTAATTATATAGCCCTGGGAAATGAATCTTTCATTGAATTTAGAAAAAGATAGAGGTAGTTTCATAATTTTACCATTAATACAGAAAGCAAAAACATTAATATGCTTTTATCTTTTTTTCCTAGTAAGATTTAGATAACTGTTTTAGGATATGCATTTAAAATATTTTCAATTTATTTTTCTAATCCATTGGTCCAACATTTAATTACTAATGCTATTTATAGCAAACAAAATTTTCAGATGTTTTGGAAATGTTGTGTTCTAGAGGACTTCTAAATACTTATCTCATTGATTGCTCAAAAATAGCAGTATGCGTTAGTATGTAGAAGACTCCATTTAAAAAATAAAAAAAATGTGATGATTACTTAAGCTATTAGCTTTTGATAATTATTTCCTCTCACATAGGAACATTAGTTAAGTACCCATTACCTTTTCTAAAATGTTTTAACCTTGCCAAAACATTTATGTCTTGGATAAACATATTACCATTTCTTCCAGAAACAGTATGTTGTAGTGATTTGGAGCCCAGGAATAAAGGCAGGCAGCTGTGTTATTACTGTGTGGTCTTAGGCAAATTACTTAACCTCCTAATGTCTCGTGGTCCTCATCTGTAAAGTCGGAGTCAAAATTGTGCCTGAGTCCTAGGGTTGCTGTCAAGATTCACTGAGTTGATATACATAAAGTCCTTAGTACAATACGGGGCAAATAATGAATTAAATATCAATCATGCCTATTCTAGCTACTTTTTCAAACCAAACAGCGTAATAATATTTTCTTCTTTTTCATACTGTACCACTTGTTACTCTCACTATGACCCCCCTTCTGCTAATGCTGCATCCAAAATGACTGTCTCCTGCATTGGGAAACAGTTATTAAGCTACAGTACTGTAAGTGCTAGGGAATCCAGGGATGGAGGAGACAGGTTTTGCTTTCAAGGAATTTACAACTAACAAGAAGAGACAAGAGTGAGGAATGTAGCCATACTGCATGCCTACCCATGTTTTTGGTGTTTTTCTTTCTTTACCTCATTGATCCTTTAACAATTCTGTGAAATAGATATTAAATTATGAGAACACAGAGTCTCAATGAAGTAACATACATATATAAATACACACACATGTATTTTGTATTATCTCATTAATGTTAATTACCTTGAATTAGAATTTGAGAGAATATATATGTATATATATATTCTCTGTGATGAATATGTATATAATATATGTCTCAGGTCTTCCCTGTGACTCACTGGTCACAGCATTTTTTTCTCCCTGAACACTAACGTGACCTCCTCATCCATCTTTGCTGCATTTTAACTTCCTTCTCCTTCCCCTCTTAACCTCTAGATGATTGACTGCTTTTAGTGCCTGACATCTATTACCTTCTCCTGTGGGATAACGTTCTGTTTTTTGGACTCCAACTGTAGACCTTCTATTTCCATTCACCAGGCCTCCTTCCTCGTCCTGAGAAAGACTTCTCTGTCAGTATCCCTGCAACCCCCTCCTCTCAACTCTGATGCAACTGCTGAAACAAAGCCAAACTGCCGCTGAGGCCCAGCAGTCAGAGGCTGGAAGCGTTCTGAGAAGTTTCAGGCGCTGCCACCTTCCTGGAAGAAAGAGAAGCATCGTGTTCAATGGTGAGTCTAAGAAGAAGGAAGGGATTCCCGGTGTAGAGGCTCAAGGCCAGGCCTGAATCTCTGCTAGGAGTGAGAGGGTGGGAGAGAAACTCAGGCCCTCCTTGCTTAACAAGTAGTCCTGGAGGGAGGGAAGCCTTTGTTCACCTGTCTTAGGGGGATGACCTTGGGGCCGGAAAAACCTTGGGAGACTTATTCGTAGGCTGGGTTCCTACTTCGCCTGGGGCTTTAGAGACTGTAAGACCAGACAGTGAAGACACTGGAGAGCTGGGAGTGTGGAGGCTGCTTACCAGGTTCCCAGTAGTCAGACAGCAACTTTCAGGTCACTAGATCGCCATGGACGGCAAGAGTTCCTCCCACTCCAGGATTGGTTATTGCTGATGGTAGCAACTTGACTTCCATAGGGGAAAAGATCCTGAAACCATGTAACGGAACACCAAATAGGGCCCAACAAGCAAAAAAGTGAAGGAAACTGCTTCAAATATGGCAAAGTTGATCCTCAAATTCAGAACTATTCTTTCCCCGCCCTAGAGACAAGTTCAACATCTTAAGTATGGGAAAACAAATCAGATAAACAAAACCACAAAACATCAAATGGCCTAGCCTTCTTTCTTCTTCTGGTCTTCCGCCATGGGCCCCGTGGTGCCCATATTCTGGTCTGGTCAGACTCCACGTTATCTCTTTGCCATTCAGAAATTCTGTCCTTCAGGCATTTGATCACCGGCAATGCCCTCGTCATCCTTTATTGTCAGGGGTGGTTGAACCCCAGACTCTGCTTGACCTCTTTCCTCCTGGCTGCACCCACTCATCTTCCCCTGTGCCACACCATGCTGTGTTAGCCCAGTCCCGCTGTGAGACAGAAGTGTGTCAACCACCCCACGCTCCTTCTGGGAAGGAGATTTACTCTACACTACTGCTCTCTGGGCTCCCTTCCAGTCCTTCAAAGCACCATCTATTGTGTATCCCCCACCTACCTATATACACCTGTGGGTAGATATCTCTTCATAGCTATAAGAGATCCTCTTTGAAGAAGCAACTATAATGTATTAGATGCTCATTGCACATTGCTAAACCCACTCCCTGCCCCTTCCCTAACTGCCTGCTTTCTTTCTTCCTTTCTTCCTTCCTTTTTTTTCCTTTCTTTCTCTTTCTTTCTT